AGTGTTCAAAGGATTTTCCGGAAGAACCCTTCGCAATGCTTTCGGGAATTATGCCGGAGTTACGGGAAATTACGCCGGTGTTACGACGTGCATTTTTTAAAGCAAATCTCTGCAAAACATTGAGATTCTGAACAACACATGTTCCACAGCCCAAAACTTGTCCGGCAGGCTCTGCAAACTTGCGCAGCTAGAACTATGTCCCAGCGCCCCGACACCCTGAAACAATGGGAGTGCACTTTTGCCTATGCTCTTTCAGCTTAGGTACACCCACTTGGGTCTTTCAACGTGTGCATCGCACTGTATCGATTTCATCCGATTTCATTTAGAAGATCACCTAAACGGATCTGATTGATCCAGTGTGAGCCATGCTGAAACCGGTGGCCGGTGGAATGAGAAAACAGCGGTACAGGCAAACCAGCACGCTTTGCAAGCAAAATCATTGCATCAGTAGTGGGTTTACCTTCAAAGAAATGCGGACCACGAAGAATGCAAAGCCCTGAGAATCCACACAAAGTGACTTGGAAAAACTGCCGGACCAAATCCAGAAAAACGCCGGAGTTGGAAGTCCGGCGCCGGACCCTGTAAAAGTGCCGGACTGAAGATCTAGGTATATATATATATATATCAAGTGGCTGCTTTCAATCTCTGCAGCTAGTCTCCAACCCCATTGCAACATGGCTTCTGACAACCGTTCCAGGAAGCATGGAGCAACATCACCTTTCATGCTTCGTTCCAACCATCCAATTTCACGCATTGCGCTTTTGGCGCGCAACAATCCTGCCGCGTCGGCCATGACTTGACTGTCTGGCGTGTGCATTGTGCACATTTTGGACACCCAAGACCATAGTATAAGCTCCACCTCCCAACGTGCTTCCGCGAAGCATGGAGCAGCACTACCCCCACCCATGCTTCCGGAGCAGCCTGCAATCATGCTTGTGGTGCAACCATGTCCTCGTAACTAGCCGTCTCATTCCCCTCCCATCTTCCCTCCAGCCCCGTCCCCATCCATCGTCTCTTCCCTCCCCAGCCCCGTCCCCACCCATCCGCCTGCAGTCTCGGTCCCCTCCATCTTCTCTCCAGTTTCGTCCCCACCCATGCACCTCCCGTCTCGCTCCCCTCCATCTTCCCTCGCCAGCCCCGTCCCTCCCGTCTCGCTCCCCTCCATCTTCCCTCCCCCCAGCCCCGTCCCCACCCATGCGCCTCCCGTCTCGCTCCCCTCCATCTTCCCTCCCCAGCCCTGTTCCTATGTTTGAGGGTTTTACTATGCCCCCTTTGTCCATCGACAGCGAAAGGAACGCTATGTACAAGCAAGTGCAATGCCGTCCCACTGGCATTGAGCAAGAGCCAGGCGAAGAACTGAGTGATGAGGACTTAGTCTTGAAAGCTTTTCGGCGGTATTCTTCGCCAGAGAAGGGTTCTGATGGCATGGACAATTCCATCGCGGCCACGACTGCCTTCACAAGACCCCTCCCTCAAAAACAATGGAACCCAGAATCTATCCCACTCGGATTTTAGCTGGGTTCTTGGCCCCAATCTTCTAACAACACCACACACACAAAAACAACAATACAATACCGTCACAACAAATACCCCGTGGAAACCAACATGGACCCTGAAAACCACTGGTTTGTAGAGAAAAACAGCCTTTTGCGGATCACATTCTCAGGGTCCATGCGCAACTCCTAAAAAAGAAGTCCCGCGCTTCTCACATCCCATCTCAACCGTGGCTGCTCGTGCTTGTGGTCCTCGGGCGCAGGGGCCTCGGCCTCGTCATTGAGGTGGTCCTCGCCATTGGTGGGTGTGGTCCGGATGATGGGTGAAGTTGTTGATGGAAAATGTAAGGGGTTCCCAACGCTTCTTAGGTTGAGGGCCCCCGCAGAACTACATCATCGAATCCATCAACATTACTGAAAAACATCCTGCAAAAGACATCCTGCAAAAAGAACACGAACGAAAAACAGCAACATGTTTCGCAACTGGCCCCTCGCCAGGGTAGTCTTTTGATGACAAGTTGATGTTAATGGATGTCCATCCCGTCTCGACACGTGGCCACAGGCAGCCAAGTTTAGATCGCTCTTCTGGTCTTTAGACGTAGAACATGAACGGCAACCCAAGCATCAAGTGGCATTATGAGCTTCTGCGAGCCCAGGCCGGCGGATCCGGAGCACATGTAAAGATTCAGCAGAGACTTCATGTCTTCTCTTCACGTCTTAAGCATACTAGAACAGTTCTGCACCGATGTCACAAGGACAGCAAGAACCGCCCGACCAAAAAAACTCGCCCAGTTGCCTTTTTCCTTGAGTTCTCTGACGTGCTGCAGGGCCTGAACTCTCTAAGCTTCGGCTGAGCGAAAAGTCATTTTATGGGCCGATTCGAGGAAAGAAAGCTGCAAGAAGTTGGGTGGAAGAAGACCGGTCGCGTCTCATGACTCTGTGCAAAACTTTATGATCTTCATCAATGTCTACCGCCTTCCTTGCTCCAGCCAAAGTGGGCCTGATGGAACAAGAATCATACTCAGTGTCTCTTGTTCAAGCAAAAAATGCAGTACTCCGTAAAGATAGATGTATATAAGTTATACGACGCTGACAAGCAAACTGTGCTACTAGAAGGCCCGATCGGTCTTGATCTTATTCTGTACACAGAAAGATGCCTTCCTACTCTTATTGACAAAAAATACCAATAGACCACCTTCATCCCGAATGCGCGTCAATGCTCCAACACGGTGCCGCTAAAATGAACTGCACTGGGTTCCCCGGCTCCAATCTCTTCCTGTGGGCCAAGCTCATTACACCCGTTGATCTGGTGGACATTCATGGAAGACACTCGTGCAATTTGACATTCTTGGCAGACACTCTTTCATGGAAAGCGCGTCGCAACAAAACACACCCAAAACATCCAATTCCGCTGACGGATACGCAAGGCACCCTTGTCAATCGAAGACACTCCGGGCTGCTGTGTGGCTCAACATTCAACCAGACATCTCAGCAAGAGGCGAGTGACAGCAAAGAGGAGGCCCAACCACACCATGTACCTAGTGGGCTAAATGGACTTCCAATGGTGCGGTAAACGTGGCAACTTGGCAAGCTGAGGATCCAAAACACAAGTTGAATCAGCCAACAATTGATAGGAACCACCAAGCTTCGTGTTTTTTAGTCGGATGGTTTGTTGTGGTCCACTTTCGGTGCGTATATCTATCGGTGTCATATGACATGTCCCACAACAGTACAGGTGTTTTCAGCATGGCTCACATGTCTTAGGCTGACCAAGCTTTCCTTTGATGGAGACCCCCTCTGCAAACTGCTGATTGCAGGCGAGAGATAACCTCAAATAGTTGTTGAGCTAAAACTTAAACCACTGCTTAGTTGGTCTTGGTGAGTCATGACGTGTCAGGACTAAGATGTTGCACGGTCTGGATACCTACTATGCTTCTTATGGTGAAAGATTTCAAGTTGCAGTGGTGAATATGCAAGGAGCTTCCGCACCACAGAGGCTTCCCCATGATCACAGGCGTTGACCACATTCTGACAAGGACTTGGATCGTTTCTTTTTTGAAACATGTTGAAACCAAGATTTGGTATATCATCCCAACATTGGTGGACTCCAAATTTGTGTTTCAAAACTTGATGTGGTTAAGGAACCAGGAAAACGTCCCCAGAAGTAAGGGGGTTCACCCATACAGGGAAAAAACAGAAACCAAAACAGGAAAACATCTCGTCGCCCGCGTCGCCTGCCGTCCTGGGAGCAGCGCCTGGCGTCTCCTCGCCGCAGGGGCACTCGGTGTGGATCGCAGCGACACACCGTTTCAATCAGAGAGGTCCCGGTCCGTGAAAGGCACGTCACCGAAAGCTCCAGGTGCCTGAAAGCTCCCTGATCTTGCGGAGGGCCGTGAGAGGTCGGTCGTGAGAGGCCAAAACCACAGACTCGTTCCGGTTCGGGTCCCGGCTACAATTGGAACAACTCATGACAGCTTGATGCTCAGGTAGTATATACACTCAGTATCACTCAGTCAAAGGGACCCATCTCTCCAAGATCTGATTCCGATTCCGCACCAACCAACACGATGGCCCAAAAAGTGCCGTGTGCCTGCCGGGATGAATGGCATGGCCTGGCAGCGACCCGCAGTTCTGCTGATACAGCAACTTGTGGTTGATGCAAACCCACGATTCAATCATTCACCCTAATCATTCAGCCCAACTGTTGATTGCCACTTCTTCTGTTTTCCGGTGTGTCTCCGAATCAAGGATGCCAGCAATAAAAGAGGACATGTTTATTGCTTGGCAGGGTTTTAATGTTGGATACTATGAGTGCCGGGCCTGTGTCCGCAACAATGGCAGTGTGCATACTATTTGCAACGAATATAACTACAATACCAGAGCTATCAAAATTACAATATATCATAATTAAACCATAATTAACCTATGTTCATAGGCCCCGCTCGTATAGCTGCAGTACGCTGCAGTCGCAGGATCACAAACATCAAAACGAACAAAATAGGAGCACAAAAGCCAACGACATCCTAAGTTGGGGATCAATCATTGATACTAAACCGTATGTACATATAGACCAGTTTTTTTGTGTGCCATCTGAAGTACCTAGTCATTGGTAGGCGAGGCAGGCCCGTGGGCACGACCGTGTTCATGTTGTCTCTGTGAGCATGTCACGATGGGAGTCACGGTCGTTGACTTGGGTGATATGCCATCGATCCTGGGGGTCGAAAGTGGTCGTTGATGTTCAATGTGATTGTACCCTCTGGACAGTCCTCAACAAACCTGGGGTTGACAAACGATATCATGAACAAATTTCAACATGATACACTCGAAACATTTTGAAGCACTTGGAAGATCACAAAAGTGCAAACAGTTACCCTGCCCAAAATGTATCTCATGATCTCAACCGGATAGTTTTTCCATGGTCGATGGTCCTTGCACTTCTTGCTAGCTAAACCAACTCGCGAACCCATCTGCATCCTCTGATCCATTGTAAAAACACTTGACCCACTTCGAGCCACAAGATGTCTATTGGAAGGAGTCTCATCATCGGCATACCAACAGCACACTAACCAGTAGCCACTTAGTTGTGCCTTAGTCTGCCTCAACATCTAAACATTCTTTGCTCTTTCTCTTGGATGAGTGTTGGCTACAAAGTCCGGCCTGTCTATACTGTAAACTTACAGCTCATCCCCCTCCAGAATCTCTGGCCAAGTAGTTGCAAGCAAAACCTGTAAGAGTGGATACGCACGTTCCTGCCTTCAAACCATGGTATCTAAATTACCCGTTCGCGCATGCCAGCTGCATGGATAACACCGAGCCATCACCGAGCCGCCTGTGGGCTCTTGCACCTGGCCACCAGCGGTGTCGGTGCCAGGGCCCGGAAAGGACCACTGCGAGAAAGAGGGCCAGGACACCAAGGTCTGACATTGCAAAGATCTGTGAGCAGTGCTGACTTCTGAATATTATTGCATACTGTCAATATGTTCTATTGAAATTGAGGGCTCTTGCACCTCCGTGTTGTGAGTATCTTCGTCTTCGCAGCACAACTCCCAAAATGGGGCCAAACATGATCTCTACAATTCAACATGGTGTGTATCAGGTAGGTTGACTTCTTTGATTATATAGCATGTACCCAATGATTGGTGTAAAACTTGGTCCTTCGACGTCGCTTGGGTCAGATTTGAACTGGTTCGTTGAGTGCAACAGTGCCCCAAAAAATCTTTTCAGCGGGGCTTGCGATGAGTGGTTGGGAAAGGGGATTCAGCCTGTATATGTTGACAATGGCTTTCCCCATAGACCCCAATGTGCAGCGACATCAAATCTGAAAACCCACTGGTGGAATACCATGATGCGTAGGCCACAGTTGATATGAACATCGGTAGCATGAACTGACGCGCACCTTGCTTTTGCATTCCAATCGTACCAAGGTCACTACGGTTGACGGGCGCAGGATCTCTTCAGAATCAAGCATTAAACTTCCCCGTGTCCATCTATCCCTTTAAACCCAATACACCCGAAACAACGGATGTTGAAATACAACCATGTACCACTACTCCCCACGTGTCCATGATGCTGAAACCAAAGATGCCCAAAGCGCAAGGAGGCTCCCCCCGTCAACCAGTGAATTCGTGCATGCATCCATCTGTCGTTAACCAATTCCCAGTGGATCCACTACTGTAACAGCTGTAGGCAAAAACAATTAGATGAAACCTTTGAAGATCACCCGACCCTAGAATGTTCGAAGCCGAATCCACTGCCCTCCATGGCGTGCTCACTCATTGGCACGAGCTGAGACTCACATACACTTATATCAAAAAAAGGTTACATGCCCGTCATCCGTGGTATGTGTGCCTAAATTGACCCGCAGTCCCATGGAGTGTCAAGGATGGGGAGACAGCTGCAATCGGTTTTCGTCTCACTGTGCTCCACGTGTCAATGTTGGGGCAAATGCTCAGGCTTTCAGTGATTGATCTACTCGGAAAGCACACCAAAAGCATCGAAGTCGACCCGTGCTTGGTCGTTGTTTTCGGGGAGACAAAATCCACAATGACAAAAAACTAACCAAGAGTCGAACCAACCACGATTTGGTCTTATGGTTCTTGTCTCCCTTTGACTTTGGATGTCAACATAACTAGGGGAGCAAAGCAGCTTCTTTTCACATTGTATTGGTGAACTCAAACGTGACCTGCCCAGGCATTTCCAACCCACCATAGGGGAACTTTACCCGCAACATCTTGGAACAAGAACACCAAAAAAGATTCGAAGCGGGTGCCCAACTGGCCCAAACTAGTGGACACATCCCAGACCTGCTCGATGTGGGGATGGTGTGTTTTTTTGGCAAAGCGATCGATGACTCTTGATTCTTGATGCTGGCGGTCGACGGGGTGCCTTCACCAATCCAGGGTGCGTTAGCACTCGCCTGTCGGACACGGCCGTGTGGTTCCTCTGTTCTCAGGCACGTTTGCTTTCCACCGACCCAACAATGTATTTTCAGAACCTTACAATTATGTAATCCCTATCATTGAGCCTTTGCACATGTGGGTCTTTGTGTGCGTGATCTTGGGGATTTACATTCTTGGGTGCCGGTGGATCAGCGTATGACATGACATGTGATCATTGTTGATCATTGATGTTCTGAAGTGCCATGTGATGAAGTGCCACACACTTACAACCGTGAAATGCTATCCTCCCTGCATCTGATACAGCAAGCCCCCAAACACATTGGGTCGAATTTTCCTCTGTTGTAACAATGCCTTGGACACCCCCACTCTCTTGAACATGTGTGTGCAGTTTCAGGTGTTTTTCGAAAAAAAACAACTTTCTGACGTCACACTGCAGAGTGCATCCATGTTGAGTGTGTGTGTGCCCCTTGTAGTCACAGGGATCCGTTTGGATTGTACTTTTGACTCCGTTCTCAGTTTTCATTTTTTGAGGAGGGGGGTGCAGAGCACAGTGGAAACTGCACCCAACGAAGCTATCCACTTGTGCTGGAAGCAGAGCCTGATCAGCCCTGTGTACCTGCTTGATTTTTAACATTTGCCGAGAGTTGTGCAGATGTGCACGCACGCCGTCATCTTGTCGATCCGAACTCGTCGATTTGGTGCTTGCGCTTTGGGCCTCACTTCCGTTTGAAGACCCCCAGCCTCAGGTAGGTTTTACCTGTACTCTTAGGAAATGGCAACCTAGGGCGGCGCGTGGCACCGCATTCACATCAGTACGCATTTCTATAAGTGTGTCTCTCCTGGTGAGAGCCCGGGATGAGCCCACAGAGTGCCTCCCGTGGACCCGTCGAACGGGGGTAGGTCGAACGCATCCCCTGCCCGGATGCAAAGCAGCTCGCAGCGAGAGTAGGTGGCCTAGGCCGAAAGAACTCAGATTTTTGTCCAAATTGGGAATTCCAAGCTGGCTCATGCCTTTACGTGACCGCAGCGGTCAAAGGTGGCAGCCCTTGGGCAAGCCGTACGTGGTCGCAGCGAACAAAGCTTGTTCAAGGTTCATTGGAACCTGTCGGACTCTCAGGTGCACATACATCGTACACACTTTAACGAGGCAGGTCTTCCTAGGTCGTCGTAATGAGGTCTGGCTTCATCGGTTCCCGTCCCCTCCATTTGGTTCCCTCTTCACCCTTTCCCCTTCACACACTTCTTTTCCTCTTTCTTTTCATGTCTTCCCTTGCTTCATGTCCTTTCATCTCACTGCTTTCGTTCTTTGGCGCGTACAACGGTCCGGGCCTTAGTGTGTACGCGCCCCCATCTACTTTTAATTCAGGTGTTAGGTCGCCCAGGTCTCGACAATGAGGTGGGTTTCATCGGTTGTCCCTGTGCACTTGGTTTCTCTTTCATCGCAACCACACACACACTTTTGTCCCGTCTCGTCTTCCTTCTCATGTCTTCATCCTTTTGTCTTTGCTGCGCGCACATTTGCACATTCGTCCTAGCCGTAATTTTTTTTGCCTCCCCTTGGGGAGGCGTGTGTGTGTGTGTGCCCCTTGTAGTCACAGGGATCCGTTTGGATTGTACTTTTGACTCCGTTCTCAGTTTTCATTTTTTGAGCAGGGGGGTGCAGAGCACAGTGGAAACTGCACCCAACAAAGCTATCCACTTGTGCTGGAAGCAGAGCCCGATCAGCTCTGTGTACCTGCTTGATTTTTAACATTTGCCGAGAGTTGTGCAGATGTGCACGCACGCCGTCATCTTGTCGATCCGAACTCGTCGATTTGGTGCTTGCGCTTTGGGCCTCACTTCCGTTTGAAGACCCCCAGCCTCAGGTAGGTTTTACCTGTACTCTTAGGAATGGCAACCTAGGGCGGCGCGTGGCACCGCATTCACATCAGTACGCATTTCTATAAGTGTGTGCGCGCGCGCGCGTTGAGAGAACATGCTCCTGGACTTCTTGTGCAAAATAGCTCCTTGTGATGAAAGCTCGACTCTACAGGATCCAATCATCCAGTCCCAGTCATCCGATTCCTCTTTCGACTTTCCATTCGTCCATCCTCCGTTTTGATACGCTTGGACGCAGGACTGCTGCGTTCCTCCATGATTGACCGGGTTTCATGGGATCGGAAAGCATCAACCCAGGTCCTGACCAGAACATCCAAAGCACAAAAAAGAATGATATCATGATGTATTAAATGTATCTGCATAGGCAGTGTGGGATTTGTGGGGCATATTTGTGTTTTTGTGCTTTCCTTCTCCAGGGTAGTACTGTCTAATCAAGTTATTCCAGCCACCAACCCCAACACTCTTGGATCGTACAGAAACCATCGGGATACCCGCATCGGTGGACGAGAAGTTCGGCGCATGATCAACAACACCTTGGAATTCTTGAAAATGGCTCCAGTCTCTTCGTAGTTTCTGGCTTATGACCCAGGTTTAGAGGGGCCGCGGATTGCCCTATCTAGAAAGGCTGCAAGTCTGGCTTCCCAATCCCATGATCTGCCTTGATGTGTAGATCTTCCCGTCTGCTTCCAGATCTAGCTTTTCCTGAGCATTACTGGACAGGCTCGGCGCCTGGTTCAACAAAAACAAACATCGCGGAGAGAAAGGCACAGATCTCAAAGCAGGATCTGCAGAACCTTCTTCAGGGGTGACTGCAAGTGAAGATCATATCACTCTACACTTGGGCACCCGGCCTGACATTCGAGCCATAAGGGGGGTACATACGGACTCGCCCAGGTCAACCTGAAAACCAGGCCATGCCAAGAGAAACCACGTGAGTATGTTTTATATCCCTGCATTTTATCGGTGGCGCATGATAAATTTTGGTCTACGTTCCCTGCTACCAGGCACTTGTAGGGCTAAAACTCAGTTCGAACAAACACCTAATGAACCTGCCAAAGTTATTTGGTCAAATTAAAACGGATAAGATTCTAGTTTTCCCATGTCCACCCTCAATCAGAAATAGTATCTGTGTTGAAACGAACCAAATAACTTCATGCTTCATCCAGTTTCCAAATATGTAGAGCCTCTCTGTCATGGCCAACCCCTAAAGACTTTGGTTCGCATGTGAATCAACTGAACGTAAAATATTAAAACATGTGCCAAAACGCTATAAAGATCAGTGAATCCTTTAAAGAGGTAGAACATTTCTTGCGGTGTACTGTACCACAAAAGAACAAGTATCTATCTATTACATATCTATTACATATAAAAGCATTGAATTGGCCTCTTCTCAAAAAAAACAAAACAGCAGTCGACCCTGGGTTAGCCTTGACAGTAAAGAGCTTTGCTTCATTCAGTCAAAAGAAATCTCTGTTCCAGCTTTCAAAAGCGCAATCAAGTCAGCAGGCACTGATACGAGATGGCACCAGTGACATAACTTCTGTTTGGTGAGGAATTTGTTGCAGGTACTCCGATATACAATTCTCATGTCGTGTAGGTCGGTCTGTTTGGTGAATAATTCGAAGGGCCCCGGCCATGTCTCTCAAAAATACAGAGCTAATGACAAATGGCCTAAGGCACTCCGAGGTTGATGTTTTGGAATATTTCTGGCAATATTTGCACTTGCAGTTGCTACATTCGGTCATGAAACATTGCCAAAGTACCCTTTTTATCCTTTTCCCCCTTGCACCTGTTGGACGTCACTCACCGTGGGTGCTGTTGGGCACCCGTCCACAACGGAGAAGCTGTTGGATGTTCACCCGGCCATCCAGCGAAGAAAGAATCCCGCTCGGTTTCTGGACCAAGCCTGCTCCGTTCTCATGTTCTACCGTTCTTCCACGGGTCGCGCTGTGTTTGATCCAGGTTTACCAGGCCATATATCAGGTCTAAAGGAATCCCACAAAAAGCACACTATAAATTCCTTGAAACTGAAACTACGATGTGAACTCCTGAGCCATGTGTGACGAATTTCTGGGAGTGCAGAGTTGCCAATCAGCCACAGCTTCCTTGAATACCATCTCAAGAAAAGAGAACTCACAAAAGCATACAATAGCTGTTTCTCCCCAACTAAGCAGCAAGTCGTCTGGGCTTTCACACGGTGAGCCGCGCGTCCCGTTTTGCCTTGGCGAGCACAACTGTCACAAGCGTCGGTTTAAGAGCACGAGCACCAACCTACTGTGCTCATCTCAAGTCCTCAACCTCAAAGCAAAGCCCCTTCTTTGGCAAGGGGGGCTCTACCTTTTCAAACGCAGGACACAGGTGTGTAGAAGTATATAACGTATTATAGTTCGGTGTTCCTTAGCTGAGCTTTAGCTAGTTTCATGAAAAGAGACAGATTATGTAGGTATAGTAAGCCAAGAAAACTGAGTCACGAGCCAATCAAGGGACCACTGGAGGTTGGTGGGCTGACCATTGTGGGACCAAATGCAGTTGACCAGTCGCTGACCACATGGCCGTGACCAAATGGGTGAACTGACCATCCCTTCTCAACGGGCTCAACCGCGTCACAAGTCAAAGCTCCTGGTAGACGCATGTCCGTGATGGTCGACCCATGATGGCTTGGGTCTACCAACCGTTTTCGGTGATGAGTTTTCGGCGTTCTCGGTTTTGAGACGGTCAATCGTTGAACGAGAGTTTGGACTTTAAACACGTGACGTGACAGATTCATGGTGCCTCAGGGTGAAAATTCATGTAGCGAGGTGCCGACACTCGACCCGAATCCTTTGCACGCGTGGAAAAAGTGGGATGCAACTATATTCGGAAAGCACTGGCTACGTGTTCCAGCATATTCCAGGATGACAAGGATCTTGGACAGTGTTAGATCCAGCAAGATCTTGATGAATGATGTGAACCCTTGTAAGAACGTGGCGCCACATCCGACCACGCCCAATGCAGAAAGGTAATGAACCATCCAAACACTGCTACCATGTCAAAGTTAGTTTTATCATTCACCTTGAAATTTGGACTTGCAAACAAAGAGCAGGTCCTGTGAAAGCCAGGGTGTTTGGTCCTTTTGTTTGTTGAAGTCCTTGATAATTGTTTTCCATCCCAAAGCCGCAGGCGTTCTGTGATTCTGCGTGTTGGGCAGCCCGGCACTGAGAATTGTCGGCTCACATTCTTGAAATCCTCAAGGAGTTCTACGCGTTCAACGGAACTGGGAGATCTGGGAGATGCATCTGACAGGTTGCAAAGAACATGGTCGCTCTCTTCGCGAGCTCGGAGTCCGTTGGTGTTCCGTGGTATTCTGTATTCCAGTGGTTGATCTTCTGGGTGTTGAGTGTGCTGACCATTCCCACTTAGGATACCCGGTGTGAACTTCC